ATTTTTGTCTTTCTCTGTCTGACTTAATTCACTTAGTATGATCACCTCTAGGTCCATCCATGTTGCTGCAAATGGTATTATTTCATTCTTTCTTAGGGCTGAGTGTATTCCATTGTATAAAAATCAGCATACTTATAATCTTCGTTCTTAGGCTGAGGTGCGTGTGTGTGTGTGTGTGTGTGTGTGTAATTCGAGACAGGAGGCTCTACATGCGTTTAAAAGCTTGTGGAGATCCTTGTGCTGTGTGCTTCTTCTAACATGGGAACACTGTAGTATACTGCAGGGGCTTAGGTTTCAAAGCAGCAAATGTTTCCTTATGAATATAACTCTGAAGGGACGTGTTTTAACAAATTAGGGTCCCACCCTTATGGCCTCATTTAGCCTTATTTACCTCTTTAAAGGTCCCATCTTTAAATACAGTCACACTGAGGGTAAGGGCTTCAACACGGGCATTTTGAGGAGACACAGTTCAGTCATGACAACATCCCTCTGCATCACCAGTGTCTCCCATCACCTCCCAAAGCTTCTGAGCGTGGTCTCCAGAGTTTCCCACATACAAAAAAGGAAAGAAAACCTCACTAAATGTTTATCCCTGTTTCTGCTTTCCTGTTTTATACCAAGTTCACAGTTGCCAGGCTGGAATGGACTCCAGGTGCCCTTCAGCCCTCACTGTACCCAGAGCTGGGCAGCTCTAATCATAGTCAGGGTCTGGGAAACATCTTGGTAGTAAAAGTGGTACAACAATGGGAGAGAAATGGTTCTGAGTTGGGAAGATCACAGTCTCTCTGCTCCTAAGCTGCAGATGTCTGCCATCTGCGTTCTCCATCCCCTGCAGCCACCTCCCGCCCTCATTGAGAGCTGTTGATAGTAGGCAGACGAGTGGGGGCATTCCCACTGGAGAGGGAACGAGAGTTGCATCTTCTAGAATTTGATCACTGCAGGTCATCTAGTAGAATTAGGAGCAAAAATGCAACAGCCGTCTGACCCAGTGTCACCCAGGCAGAAGTCATGGGGGACCAGAAAGAACCCTTAGCCCAGCACCACTGACAGCAGGAAGTGATCTGCTAGTCAGGGGACTTGGACCTGCAGCTGCCCAGAACCTACCAGGAGGATGAAAGAAGCCCATCTAGATACAACAGAAATTTGAGCCTGTCCGCTTTTGACCTGGGGCCTCCACAGCAGTAGCTTTGAAGGAATATGTATATCTGTGTGGCTGTATGTGTGACCAAAACGTACTTTTCACAGAGCACTTCTTTTGTGGGATTGCCCTCTGATTTTTTAAAAAAGATCTTTACCTTTGTAAAATACATGTCACAGCCCAATAACTTGATTTCATAATCATATCGTGACTAGTGGGTCACGATAGTTGAAAACACTGTTCTGTTGTATCATATTGTGGGAACTTCGGTAGTGCTTCCCAAATCAACACCATACTTTTACCCGATGTCACGTCTTACTAAGTTAGTTCTGTCTTTATGATTACGTTATCATCTACTAATTGTAGAGAGTTCTTGGCATGGAATGGTGTAGGTGATTTGGCCAATATGCAGTTCCAAGTTAAAGCAAGAACCCCTTCAGGCATTATTAAAGAGTGGTTGCTGGGGCTTCCCTGGTGGCGCAGTGGTTGAGAGTCCGCCTGCCGATGCGGGGGACACGGGTGCGTGCCCCGGTCCGGGAGGATCCCACGTGCCGCGGAGCGGCTGGGCCCGTGAGCCATGGCCGCTGAGCCTGCGCGTCTGGAGCCTGTGCTCTGCAACGGGAGAGGCCACAACAGTGAGAGGCCCGCGTACCGCAAAAGAAAAAAGTTGCTGAATTTCTGTCTGTGGCTCCATCCCAAGGACCTCCTGCCATTTACCCAAGGATTCTATGCTTCCTTCACATTGTCTGTTACCATGGTCTTGCCGAATTTCCACCTTTCCCTCCTGTTTCTTCTGGGCTTGGTTTGCTTTCTGGGAAACTTTAAATTCTGCCACATTAAACATCACCTTCCCCTCTACACCTTCTCACCCCCTTTCACTTTCTTAGGCATCCCTCCACTGCCCTTCTTAGTCCTCTCCAGTTGGTTTGTTCGCATGAGCTAAATGGTTGTGGAGTCTTACACGGTCACTGTTCGTGAGCACAGTCACGACACACCCTCGTGCTGATGTCCACAGCAGCTTGTTAAGCAGAGCCCTGGAAGAATAGGAATATCAAGTGGGATCTGAGAAAGTGGCCCTTTGGTGACAGAAGACTCAGTGTCACTGAAGAGGCAGTGTCTATGCAAAATGCCTTCCTGAAATACTGACCAGATCCTTTCTTGGCTTCAGCAGACAGTGACCTGGGCTGAGAGGAGGCGTGACATCCCTAGCGCCTTGTTTTCTGAGCTTATTTCAAACATGGGGTTGATAATGTTTACCTTGTGTGTTAAATAAGACAGTTGTGAAGCACTGACCTGCCATCTAGAATGTAGGATGTGACCAAAGCCTATAACCTTCGTTCTCATTTGTATGAGTTCTCCATGGCTGAGTAATAGATCACTAGAGACTAAGCTGATTGAAGCCACATGTATTTATTATCTTACAAGTCCTACAGATAACAAGTCTGGGCACAGCACTGTTGGGTCCCTTGCTCCAGGTATCACAGAGCTGAAACCAAGAGGTGGTTTGTAAATTCGTTCAGGTTGATGGCAGAATTCCTGTCCTTGAGGTTGTAGGACTGAAGTCCCAGTTTCCTTGCTGACTGGCTGGGGGTTGCACCCAACTCTTGGAGATCACCCTTAGTCCTAGCTCTCTTCTTCAAGCCAGCAGGAGAGCCCCCGGTCTGCTACAGCCGTCTTACACAACATATCACCTTATGTAATGTTCCATAATCATGGGAGTGGCCATCCCATCATATTCACAGGACCCTCCACATTTAAGGGCAGGAGATCATGCAGGCCATGTACTCTGGGGGGGGGGCAGGAATCTGGGGCCCCTCTCTGAATTCTCTCTACCACATTATCACATTTATCATGAATCTAACATAACCCTCTCAGTGAATCATCCCCGACACCTGGTCTTAAACTGTATCATCCGCCACTCCCTCCCCCGAGCTATTGATCCGCCGGCTTCTGCTTTATTTTTCACCGCAGTGGAACTTACTGCCATCTAACCCAGTTCATGTTTTTCTTGCTTGTTGTTTGTCTCCCTCTTCTAGAAAGAAAGCTCCTCCATGGCAGGGACTTCTGTCTGGGTTTTCATTGCTCCACCCCCAGGACCCAGCACAGACCGAGTTCAGAGTGGCACTTCAGTGACTTTTTGTTAGATGCATGGGTTGTGGGAACCAGTAGTGTTTTGAAGCGCACACTTCAGTGCTCTGCTAGATCTTGGTTGGTTAAGTCAAGTTAAGCAGATTAGCTTGTGTCACCAGCTTATTGGAGCATCTCGTCAAAATCATGAGATATTCATGGACTGTGGGAGGAATGGGCGGGAAACTTCTGATCATGTGGAGAAGCGTGTGTGTGTGTGTGCGTATGTGTGATGGCAGTGGTTCAGTGGGGGTCTCTCAGCTCAATTTGTCCTTGAAATGATAGAGGATTTAGCAGTGATTGGGTGCTGGGTGTTTAAAAACCTAGAGGTAAAGCCCTAGGAGCCAAAGAAGGAAAAGCAGCGCTGGAGCTCAGGTGTACTGAGTTCCATTGTAACTCATAACTCTCCATCTTAACTAATGTTTTTGTTTGTTTGTTTGTTTTGTTTTGTTTTTGTTTTGCGGTACGTGGGCCTCTCACGGTTGTGGCCTCTCCCATTGCGGAGCACAGGCTCTGGACGTGCAGGCTCAGCGGCCACGGCTCACGGGCCCAGCCGCTCTGCGGCATGTGGGGTCTTCCCGGACTGGGGCACGAACCCGTGTCCCCTGCATTAGCAGGCGGACTCTCAACCACTGCGCCACCAGGGAAACCCTTAACTAATGTTTTATAGGGAGCTATTTTCTACATATTTTTCTACATAAAACAAGTCAATTTGTACTGGAATTACCTACAAATTGTGTCCAAGGTCTTGGATCAAATTGTGCATTTCTCCCAACTACTTCTTTGTTTTTAAAAGAAAAAAATTGCCAGGAACCTAGATCACAATTCTGTGATCATTTAATATGATTGAGAAACAGCCTTGTCCACCCTCGCACACACCCAGTCCACTGCCACTTGGATTGAAATTGCTTTAGTGAAAGTGTCTCTGTGAAAACCAAAGTGCAGACGTTTTCACAGCTCCTCTCTTTTCATAAAGAAGGCGGGGCTGGAGAAGAGTGGGAATATTGAAGGAGGCCAAAATAACCGCTTGGAGCCTGGACCCTGCTCTGGACCTGCCCTCGGAGGGAGGGCGAGGGCCTTTCTCAGGGATCTTCTGGGGGAGGGAGGGTGCTGAGCGCTGTGAGTGTCAGCATCGCGGGGGCAGGACAGGTGTGAGGAGCCCTGGCCCTTGTCAGCACTTCACACGAGGATGCTGGCCTTCAGACTTAAAACAGTGCTGTAAGGAGCTCCTGCCCACCCACCCCTTTTGCTTATGGGGAAACTGAGGCTCACAGCGGTTGAATAACTTGCTAGAAGTCCTGCAGCTGGCAAGTGGCAAGACCAGGACTAAACCACCTGACTTGTCTGACTTCGTAACCTCTGCCCTTGACCTCGCTGGCCTTGTTGGTACAGATTCCCATCTTCTGACGGGGGTCAGCGCTGAGCAGGGTCTACAGCGCTCTGATGCTCCCCTCTGGTTTCATGCAGGTGTTTGGTCATCCAGTTACAGGGCCTCCCCGGAAGGAAACCACTGTGATTCTGCCCACAGGATATGTAGCAGACAGGTGCTTTGCATGACACTGTCCCTCTCAGCGCCTTCCGTTTGGGCCACCCGTTTGGACTACCGCAGCTCCGCTAGTTTCCTAAAATGCAGTGGTGGCAGTTCTGTCCTTTGCACTGAAGTCTGCCTGGACCTCCCGACTGGTCTGGCCCTTCTTCCGCAGGATGCTGACGGCCTGTGCCCTCTCTCCCACAGATGCCGCCCTTATGAGGACTGCTGTGGCTCCAGGTGCTGTGTGCGTGCCCTCTCCATACAGAGGCTCTGGTATTTTTGGTAGGTCACGACTCTTCCTGGTCTCATATGCTCCCCCTGCCCTCCCCCAGGGCTCTGCCCGGTCAGTTTGTCACAGCCAAGGTGACATCACCTCCCCCTGAGGCACCGTGGTCTCTGGGTGGCCTCAAGAAAGCAGGTACGTTGGGGCTGGCTTCATGTCAAGCACTTCTGCTCACGGAGTTTGGAGAAAGCTCGTCCCCATTTCCACAGACTTGTGGCTCGGAAAGAAGACTTACTCTTTTGGAAGCTGGACTGTACAGAAGCCTGGTTCTTCAGCGGCTCCTCCACCGATTTCTGAAATGGAGCTGAGGCCAGTTGTGTTAATCAGAGAATCAGCCCATCTCGTTATAAAGTTTCCACTGCCTGGAAATCTTCCGTATTCGCATTGTGTCAGCTGAGTCCTGACTTTCCAGACAGACAGCCCGCATCCTTGCCCATCTTCCAGCTCTACTGGGGGAAGTTGGAAAAGCTGTCTGGAGTCTGTAAGATTGGACCTCGGGAGAGAATGAGGGAGTAAAGCTGACAGAGTCCTAAAAGGATAGGATGCAGAGTTTCCACTAAGGAGAGGAACCTCCCGTGAGTGGCCACCCTCAGAGGATGCCTGTTTAGAGGTTTGTCTGAAGATTCATTTGACTCTGTAGATAAGAGATAGGCTTCAGATGACAGAGATGGCAGAGTACGTGTGGGAAAGGATTTGCCTAAAACCAAAAGGGCATTTCCTGTGCCTGCCACGCTCTCCTCTGCACCACTGCGGAGGTACAGTCTTCGAGGCAAACCCTGTGAGGGATTAGGACCCAGCTTTAAGGTTTAAGCTTCTTCATGGGTTTCAGATTCTGACATTCCTGACGTCTAAAGACTTTAAGGCCTTTCCTGAGCATGTGGTGGCAGACACTTGAATTTCTGGTGAGATTTTTGCCTTTGCCCCCTGACAGCTGTTCCTAATGTTTGATTAGGGAAGCCAGCAGGAAGTGGGTACTCCACCTGCCCCGTTTTCTTTTAATAGGAGACCCTCTTTTCGTTCTCACCATCACCACCGCCTTGATGGGGCTTTGGCCATTTGGGGGCTGGACTCACCTGTCACATCGGGCCCTGAACAGTGCCACGCTGGTGTTGGCTTCTCCCCACCTCCTAGTTGCTAGTGCCTCAAACTCTGTAATAGAAGGAGAACTTTTTTACCCTGAGATTTTCCACATGTTAACACCTCTGTGTACCTATCAAGGTGGAAGGGACTGGTACCAAAGCTGGGGTGAGGAGGGCCGGGGGAGGGGGCATTTCAGAGCTTTGCCTGGCTTTACACACGCGCCGCCTCAGAACTTGCCTCCCCGGGGCCTTGTGGTCGAGGGTCCCGAAAGGGATCAGCCGTGCTTCAGGTTGGCCTGAAACACCAGACGAGTGATGATGAGATTGTGGAAATGCTCCTAAAAAACGAGAAAACGTGTCAAAGTTTAGACATCACGTGATTAGAAAGAAGGAAAAATGGAAAGTCCAGGAGAGCTCTGAGGGCCTGGCTGCTAGAGCAGCTTCTGTCGACCTTCCCTGGAAGCGTTCGTTCCCTGAGCTGGTAGCCGGTGCTTCTGAGCTGTTGGCCAGCGTCACTTGTCAGGGTCAGGGCACCTCAGCGAGCCAGTGGGTCCCTACACAGAGGCATCTCATGAGAGCCGTGGAAGGAGGGCAGGTCTCCAAGGTCGGGGTGCCAGATACCAGAAGGTTTGGTTGAGTTCTTTGAGTTGAGATTCTGATACCAGATAGCAGCTTCTAAACTGGGGATACAGCCAGACAGCACCTTGAGATGCAAGTCTGAGGTGCCCCAGCTGCAGTCAGAGGACACTTGGTTTCCGCTCCATGGGTTCCTTCTCTCAGTTATGTGTCTGGTATGGACAAGGCCCCACGGCAGCCGGGCTCCTGAAACAGACAGATGTCTAGACACATGGAGAGTTTTAGACCAGTGTTCTGGAAACAAGGCGTGCAACCTCTGATGCCACAGACGTTGGGGAAAAAGCTGCACAGCTTCTGACCGGGCCTCAGAGAGGGCCTTCCCTGCGAAGTGCCCAGCACATCGCACTCAGAGAGGGCCTTCCCTGCGAAGGGCCCAGCACACTGCACTCAGAGAGGGCCTTCCCTGCGAAGGGCCCAGCACACTGCACTCAGAGAGGGCCTTCCCTGCGAAGGGCCCAGCACACCGCACTCAGAGAGGGCCTTCCCTGCGAAGGGCCCAGCACATCGCACTCAGAGAGGGCCTTCCCTGCGAAGGGCCCAGCACATCGCACTCAGAGAGGGCCTTCCCTGCGAAGGGCCCAGCACATCGCACTCAGAGAGGGCCTTCCCTGCGAAGGGCCCAGCACATTGCACTCAGAGAGGGCCTTCCCTGCGAAGGGCCCAGCACATTGCACGGGCAGGGACGTAGGCATGCCCCTGGTGAGGGGGTGATGGGGAGCTGGTGTGGGGGCAGGTTTGCAGGGTGGGCAGGAGGTTGGCAGGATGGAGCTGGGCATCACGCTGAAGGAGGGCGGCTCTCCAAGCTGGTCCCACTTGACTCTGGAGGAATCTGGGCTCCTTACCATAACACAAGAGGTTTTGGAGGAGAATGCTTTCAGAAGTCCCTGCCAGCTCTAAAATCTTAAGTAATCTTTAACCAGGATAGTCTAATGAAATCCCCAGGATCAGAAAAGGTGTAGAGTTGGAGAGCACACTGCAACAGAGTGCAGCCTGGCAGGTGAGTGCAGCCCTGCTGCCAGGGCTCCCGCGGGGCTGGGGGCTGGGGCAGGTCGGCCCTGGATCTGCAGGGGCTCTGCTGCTGCCTGGGGCCTGCATTGGGAGCTGAGAACTGCTGTTCCAAGTGCTGCGGCGGGGAGGCAGGAAGGGACTGGAAAAACAAATTGAATTGAAGAAACCGGATTACTTTTGATGACAGAAAAGGCACAAACTTCCTCTCTTGATCCCAGGGAAGCTCCCCAGACCCGCTCAGCAGTGGAAGAGAATGTCTAGGAAACAATCGTCCTGTAACTCACAGCACTTCCAAGAGCTGCTTTCTTACCGTGGCACGCCTTCCCTCACCGACACCCTGCTTCCTCTCGCTGTTACCAGAAGCCCATTCCCCTGCACCCTTGTTAGTTTCTCTCACACTACTGCTTCAGTGAGGAATGAGTCTGATAATTGCCCCCTAAGCCGGGAGCTGGTCTCCTGCCATGTGACTTTGTTCTTATTTGCTTGCACCTGTGTGCTCTCCAGCAGTCCACGGTGTGAGGTGTGTATCACTTTTATTTGTCTAGGAAGAAGTATGTACTCCATTTGACGGTGTAACCAACATTTTGGCTTGTCTCATGGAAGAGACCAAGATCTCGTATGGCTTCTGCATTTCTAATCCAGAGAGCCTGGTCCCTTGGGAGTGAGCAGTAGTGTTACTGAGAAGGGAAACCCTCATGTGCATTTAGCCTCCCTGTGCTTTACCTTTCCGCTCAGGTGTTTAGAGTTGGACCCAGGGTTGAACGTTAAGATTATCATGGAGTCCAAATGAAGCTGTCCCCTTTGGATTCCAGCATCTGACTTCGGAGAGGGCCTTGTTTTGCACACCTTGGATTCCTCTAGCTCCCCAAGACTGCGCCCCTCTGACCCCCCTCCCCATCTGCAGCTCACAGCTGTCCTCTCCGGGTCTGTCACCCACCCAGCTTTTCCTGTGGGAGCACCTGTGCTGTTCTTTCCACCCAGAAAGAAAGCTCCTTCCCTTCCCTTCAATTTGTCTCTTTCTTTCCATCACTCAGGCTCAGCTCAGATGTTGCTTTGAAGGAAAAGAAGCTCCCTCACTCTGGCAGATGCCCTTGTTAACCCGCTGCTTGCGTGAACTGTACCCTTGAAATGATGAACACAGCTGTGCGTTATGTATATTTTACCCGCCACTCCCACCCCGAACCTATGTTGCATCCTTGCTTTTCTTAGCACTGTCAGAGTTGTAAATAAACACTTTTGTTAATTTGTTGTTTACTGTCCCCCTCCCCTATGAGAACTCAAGTTCAGTGAGGGGGAGACCCCACCTGTCTTACGCCCTGGAATGCACAGACTGGTGCTGGGATCATGGCAGGTGCTTAAAATTTTTGTTGGATGAATAATGAATTAGACGAGAGATCAGAAAGCCACAATTTCAGTCCTTTTCCTGAATCATTTCCTGTCTGGTGCCCCTGATCTTTGTTCGTGTTCAGCGTTCCAAGGTTGTCTGGTAAACGCTTACTGACTGACTAATGGACTTAATTTAACCCTTAACATTATGTTAATTATTCTTGAAGGCTTTATTGTCTCCTCTTAAATTTCATTTGTGTGTGGACAGGTGCCTTTAGACCATGACATGGCCAGCTCTGCTGTGTGTGCATCCTTTACAAGAGTGTGTGTGCGTGTTGAGTGAGGTTCTGGAAGGTTCTGTGAGTCCCATCGTCGTATCAGTTTAGAGATGGGCAAGTTTCTCAGTTATGTCTGTGTGGAACAGACAACTCGGCCCTTCTCAGAATGACGCCCCCTGTTTCTAGAAAAACAGGTATAGTGCAAATGTGAGGTGGGAAGAGTCATTCATTCGTTCATTATTTATTGAATGCCAGTGATACATCTGAGAATTCTTAGATGATTTGGACAAAGATCTGATCCTTAGCCGTCCGCTCTGTGTCCGTTAGACTGTAGGGTCATGGTAGAAGGTTCAGCCATACTTAGAACCTAGAGATTTAAAAACAGCCTGTTTATTGATTGTGAGCGTTTTCTCTATTCCTATAGTTTCTCTGTAATTAAGAAGTACTCTAGGAAGGGCACTTAAAAAAATATTTTTTATGGATGTTCATATAATAATGGAGAGAAAACTGCTAGAAAGGATCACGTGCTTACTCTTCTTGCTTTGACAGTAAAGAAAAATGGGGGAAATAGACAGTGAAGACCAGCAGTAGTGTTCAAACTGGATTGAAAAGGCATCTCCCGTTTTGACTAAAATATCGAGTTGAGGTCAGGAAGGTAATTGCACCAGCCCTGTGAAGCCAACAGCCATTTGGAGCTTTTGAAGCAGAAAGCTCACTTCGAGAGCTTCTCAGCATGAGTGGCCTCCATCCAGGGCCACCTAGAGCTCTGCAAGCCAGCTGTCTCCCTGGTGTGCTCCACCGGGCCCGTCCCGGGGGAAGGTGGTTGGGGAGGACCAGCCAGGGAGCCCTGCCGTCTGCCCGGGCCTCTGCCTGGGGCCTCACCTTGTGCTCTCGCCCAGGTTCCTCCTGATGATGGGCGTGCTTTTCTGCTGTGGAGCCGGCTTCTTCATCCGGAGGCGCATGTACCCCCCGCCGCTGATCGAGGAGCCGGCGTTCAACGTGTCCTACACCAGGCAGCCCCCGAACCCCACTCCAGGTCAGCCAAGCCCTCTGTCCTTGTCTCTCCTCCTTTCAGTTTACATGTTCTCTGTAAGCATGTTCTCTGCCACGGAATATGCTGGAAGAAAAAATTCAGGCCGTGTTTATTCATTTAAGTTCTGATGCTCAACCTTACTGTGCATTTGTGCTGATAATAAGTGCAATGTCTGCTGTGTTGTATGTCTGTCACCTCTTATTCTTACCTAATTATTGGTGCATCTTTTATGCATGTTTATGCAGCACATTATTTGCTCTTTTTTTCCTAAAAATTATTTCATGTGTAAATTTTTATGTAGAAACTGTACTGTCCGTGACATTCTTAATGCTTCTGGGCTAAATATTAATCGTGTTACTAAATGGTGATTTGCTTAGATAGTCTGTCCTTGCTGATCATTTGTTTTCTTTTGTTTTGCTTTTCATTCGTTCATTCAATAAGCGTTTGCTGTGCGTTTATGAGTATTGTGAGTACTTATTAATTGTGCTGCTATAGACATGTCTGCACAAGTTACATTTGGCCTATTTAGGGAACATTACCCAGAGTGGTGCCCCAGGGTCAAAAAGAATTCGTGATTTCCTAATTCTTATAAAACACTGCTTTAACTACCTGAACCTCAGACATACTGTGGTGAGTGAATTCAAGTTTCCCTCGGGACACGGGCCCGTTCCTTGTTTTGAAATTACATGTGAGATGTTTCCCTTCCCTTTGGGGGCAGGGGGCGCCAGGGACTCTGCAGGGCTGGGGAGGCACTGCTCCTTGAGCTCCTGTCTTTGGGCCCGTGTGGTGGGCCAGTGGCTGCGTGGCTCCCTGCGTGCCACCTGCCCCGTCAGGCTTCCCACCTCCAGAGTGTGGGCGGGCTCCCTCTATTCATCACACGCCATAGGGAGACAGTCGGACATCTAGAGTTCTGTTCCAGTTTTTACAGAGTTCCGGTTCTGTAAGATAAGTCCTAAGATCTGCTGTACAGCATGGGACCTATAGTTAGTAATACTGTGTCGTATACACACGCCTTTGCTGAGTGGAGGTCTTATGTTGTGTCATCACAAATTCAGAGGGCAGCAGGAAATGCTTGGAGGTGATGGATAGGTTTATGGCATATATTGTGGTGATGGCTTCACGGTGTATATGGATTTCTAAACTCATCAAGTTGTAGACGTTACATATGTTCACCTTTTTGTATGTCGATCACACCTCAAAGAAAAAAGAAAGAAGTTGGGGGACTGAGCGTGGGAAGAGCTCTCTCTCATCTGCCCTTTAGACACAGAGATGCTGAGATGGGCATTTGCTGGTCTGTGTTTTATAGTTTTATTCCACCAAACACTCCACCGGGTTTTCTTTTATTATTTTTTAAGACGTTGCTAAAAATCAGAATATGTGTTTTCCATAACAGTTCCGAGGTTGCTGTAGCTTAAACTTTCTCTCAGGGTTAGTACCACTTTTCATGCATAAGTGGATTTTTATTCTTTCATATTTGGAAAGATTTGAAAAGCTTCAAATCTATGCTCCAGCATAGGGCAAAGTGAAAATTTTCAGTTAAAATGGGAGGCCAAACCTAGATTTTATCTGGCTTAGTCTGAGTTGTCAGTCCTTTGATTTTTTTTTTTTCAAGAAGCAGACAGTAGATCAGAGAAATGGGTAAAAGACTAATGAATTTCCTTTTCCTTCTGTCTTCATGACATGGATTTTTAGTGTCCCGTGTGGCCACAGATGCAAGATGCCACGTGTGCTTGGCCCACAGCGTCAGGCGTGGGCTGGGGCCTGGGAGCTGAGCTGCCTGCACACAGCAGCCTCTTTTCTTTCTTTCTTTTTTCTTTTTTTTTTTTTTTTGCGGTACGCGGGCCTCTCACTGTTGTGGCCTCTCCCGTTGCGGAGCACAGGCTTCGGACGCGCAGGCTCAGTGAATGACGTATCAATGAAAAATTAATACAAAAACATATGCAATGTAAGTGAACTGACATTTAAAGGTAAATTCATAGCCTTATTCTTTGTTACAAGCTTAAAATAAGAAAGTGAATTAGCTGACCTCTCCTTGAAAGAGGCTCAGAAATTAATAAACTCACAGAAAGCAGTAAGAAGTACATAATAAAAAATAAAAATTAATTATAGGAAAAAGAAAAATTGATTTGCAGATCTAAAAGTTAGTGCTTGGTGAAAGGCAATACAAGTAAATGATATTGCTAATATAGATCCAGAAAAAACTATAATTGGAAAAGATACATGCACCCCTATGTTCACAGCAGCAGTATTTGCAATAGCCAAGACATGGAAGCAACCTAAATGCCCATTGACAGATAAATGGCTAAGGAAGATGTGGTATATATACACAATGGAATATTACTCAGTCATAAAAAGAATGAAATGATGCCATTTGCAGCAACATGGATGGACTTATCATATTAAGTGAAGTAAGTCAGAAAGAGAAAGACAAATACCATATGATATCACTTATATGTAGACTCTAAAATATGACACAAGTGAACTTCTCTACAAAACAGAAACAGGCTCACAGCCATAAAGAACAGACTTGTGGTTTCCAAGGGGGAAAGGGGTGGGAGAGGGATGGAGTGGGCGTTCGGGATTTCCAGATGCAAACTATTATGTATAGAATGGATAAACAACAAGATCCTACTGTATAGCACAGAGAACTATATTCAATATCCTGTAATAAACCATAATGGAAAAGAATATAAAAAAGAATATATATATATATATATATGTCACTTTGCTGTACAGCAGAAATTAACACAACGTTGTAAATCAACTGTACTTCAATAAAGTAAATTTTAAATAAAGTAAATGACATTGCCAGTCCCATCCCTGATAAATCTAATTAGTAAAGCTGGATAAAGAAAAACTAAAATCATAAATTGAAACATTACATATCCAGAGGAGATTAAAAATTACAAAGAAGTACTTCTGAAATGGAAAATTTTGGTAAGATAGGAAAGTGTACATTACCAAAGATTCATTAGAATATTGAAAATTTCAGTGGTCCACAAAGCAAGCAAGAGTTTGAGGATGTTTTCAAAGAGTTAGCTCTCAGAATGGCTCCAAATTCACATGGTATCTTTGAAACTTTTAAGAAACAGTTCATGTCAATGCTTACGAATTACTACAAGTATAGAAAGTTATGGAAATTACCTAATTTGTTTTGTAAAGCTAGTGTAACTTGTAAAACTCGTGTAACCAAAATAAAATTATATTGGATCATGTTTAATGATCATAAATACAAAAATCTTGGGAAACTGAATTAAACAATGTGTCAAAGAAGTAAACTACCATGTCCAAGCATCGATCTTCCTAAGAGAGCAAGCTGTTAACATTGCAAGTTATATCAAAAAGCAATGATTGGCAGCAAATTCTGGGAAGAAGGTGGAGTCAGAAGCACCAGGATTCTTTCCCCTCACCTAGACAAAAACTGTCCTGGCAGAATCTATCTGATGTAACTACTTTGGAACTCTGAAATCTGTTGAAGGCTTGCACCTTCCAGGGGAAAGCTTGGAGGGTAAATTGCAGCTAATTTTGGTCAGTATCAGCTCTTGACACAGTAGCAGCTAACTATCCCTCACCCTAGGCCGCATGGCAGGCAGCTGTGCACAGGATTCTGGGGCAGCCTGCAGCAGACAGGCGGCAGAAAGGACCCTGTCCTCCAGATATTGGGGATCTGTGCTCTGATTGCTGTTTACTGCTTCTGAGGAAAGAGGAGGCAGCCACTGTTGTTGCACCTCCCCTTCCAGCTGAAGTGACCTCCAGGGGATTTAAATGTCTGGTGCCCTTCCCCATACCCCTTTATTTTTCACTTTTTCCCCTCTTGGGAGCCAGGCATTAAATACTAGAACATTCAAAACAACTGTGTATACAGGAAAAATTAGTAAGTGACTGCACATCCCCAGTGAAAGGCTCAGAAAAGACTTGAGAAGACAAGTTTACACCTCAGGCTTTTCCTCTGCACAGAGTCAGCCTACAATAACAGCAACAAAAACCCAAAACAATAAGCAAAAACAAAATCAAAAAACAGCAGACACGGGGGAAGGGAGAGAATCTGATTTCCAGGGTTATCACATTATTCGATTCAAATGTCCAGTGATCAAAAAAGCATAGAAAGAAACAGGAAAATATGGTTCATCCAAAGGAAAAAAAATCAAATCAACAGACTGTCCCTGAAAAAGACCTACAGCACATCTGCTAGGCAAATCTTTTTTTTTAAATTAATTAATTTATTTTTGGCTGCGTTGGGTCCCTGTTTCTGCGCATGGGCCCTCTCCAGTTGCAGCGAGCAGGGGCCACTCCTCATCGCGGTGCACAGGCCTCTCACTATCGCGGCCTCTCTTGTTGCGGAGCACAGGCTCCAGACGCGCAGGCTCAGCAGCCATGGCTCACGGGCCCAGCTGCTCCGCAGCATGTGGGATCTTCCCGGACCGGGGCACGAACCTGCGTCCCCTGCATCGGCAGGCGGACTCCCAACCACTGCACCACCAGGGAAGCCTTAGACAAATCTTTTGAAGCAAGTGTCTTAAAGATGCTCAGAGAACAAAAGTAAGATGTGGAGAGAATCAAAACAAAAACAAAAAAATGTGTCTACAAAATAGAAATATCAATAAAAAGAAACCCTAAAAAGATATGAACAAAAAATTCTGAAGCTGAAAAGTACAATAACCAAAATGAAAAATTCACTACAGGATTCAAAGGCAGATTTGAGTAGACAGAAGAAAGGATCAACAAACTTGAAGATATGACAATGGAAATTATGTAGTCTGAGGAACAGAAAGAAACAAGATTGAAGAAAAGTGAACAGAGCCTCAGACCTGTGGGACTTCATCAAGCAGATCAGCATAGGCATCGTGGGGGGGGAGTCTCAGAAGGAGAAAAGAGATAAAAGGAGCATTATTTAAAGAAATAATGGCCAAAAACTTCCAAAATTTGATGGAAGACATGAATATAAACAACCACTCCAAGTAAGAGGAACTCAGAGACCCACACCAAGACACATAATCAACTTT